AAAGCAAGGAAGCTGTGGTCAAAATTGAGAAATAAGCAGATTTGTTATGAGTATAATGAGTGGGATGTGCTCTATTAAACCTTTTTTTTTTTTTACTTTATGAATGCTTTTATGAGGACACAGTTGTGGTGGATTCAAACATTGGACACTGTTAAAGATGGTTTTATGAATGCTCCTGATTTTAGATGGTTTTTAAATCATGTTATTTCTAAGGCAATTGTTTTATCCCTTCTGGAAAATGTTTTTGTTTTATTTTTTGTAGGTACTAAAGAGGACTGTTATTCCACATAAACCAGGAGCAGATTTTCTTCAATCACATGATGGAAAAAGACAATGCAGAAGTGATTCAACATGAAATAAAAGAAGTTGAACATAACGTGATGGAAAAAGACAATGCAAATTTGATGACACATAAAGCAAAAGAAGATGATCATCACATGAAGGGAAAAGACAATGCCGATTTGATTTCACATAAAGCAAAAGAAGATGAACATCACATGATGGAAAAAGACAATGCAGATAGTATAGCATATGGATATAGTTTCATCTATAATTTGTTAATGTAAAACATTACTTCCAAAATTAATCTAATTTTTTTTTTGTTTTTAGCATGCAGATTAAATTTTGGTTATACATTGTTATTTTAAGTTAAGGTATACAGTTTATTAAGATAAATGTAATCTAAATCTTAGTGATTACATATAATTTTACATGTTCTATTCCTAAAAATTTAAATACTGTAAATATGAACTACTATTTTTTTTATTTAATCCTAACAGCACTTCCATCACTTCCATCACTTCCATCAATATTAATGGCTTAACGTCTTTGTTACTACTAAAACTGTTTTAAGTTTGATCAATTAAGACACAATTCATGTTAGAATGGAATCAAAAACACCATTTTGATTAAAAATGTAATATAACTTAATCATATAGTTATTACAATAATCCTAACATAACGAAAAACAAATCACATGAACATCTGCGTAATATTTTCAGTAAACCTGAAATTAGGAACATGAGAACACTAATACTCTATTAAGTAAATAGACAAATTGATTTAAGCATATATGTATTTCAATAATCCTAACATAACGAAAAAAAATAGATCACATGGTTATCTGGCTAATATTTTCAGTAAACATGAAATTAGGAACATGAGAACACTAATACTCTATTAAGCAAATAGACAAATTGATTTAAGTTGAGTTCAGCAAGCATAGTATAATGGATATCAAAATATACATCACAATTCTTACTATTGAATTATAGTGAATGCTAATTATTGAATTAACACTTATCTTTTTGTATGCAAGTTCAACTCGAATTGACATCGTGCATTATAAGAAGTCATTAGGGCCACAGATATGTTGAAAACAATTTGCAATATAAACTCTCTTCAAAATCCTTGGAACCACCAGAGATTCTGTGGCATCTTGCCTGCATTTTAGTCAACAATTATTAAATTTCCAGCATGTGACATACAAATGTATATATAGAGATAAGCAGGTAATTAGAATGTACATTGTCAGGGACTAATGGATGATTAGGCACTTACCATGTATTGACACCAACTTTGTATATCTGAAGCCTCCTCAAATGCCTTAAGATGAAAGTACAGGTTGTCATACAGATCCCACACGTGATGTCTAGATCAAGGTAGTATAAAAAAAATATAAGTTACAAACAATGCAATAATGACAAACTCGGTAACTAACAATCTATATCAAATTAGATTATACACCATTGGGTAGACTTAACACTTATCTTTGAGCCTTGCTAAGCAACTGTAAGTACCAAACTGGATACCATTGGTACTTACTTAGTCAAAACGTGTCACAACATTTTCACAACCACAGGTCTTTTCATATTCAAGATACCTGAAAAATAGCTTAATCAGTACCTTATTATATTTCAGACTAATTTGATTAATCAATGTAATTATGAGAAGGAAAAGTGTAATAATATCACTGCATTAAGTAGCACAAATAAAACTTTTAGTATTCCAACTTGATTTATATTCACCATTTTCCAATGTTGTCTACCAATCTTGAATGGGAATGCTCTACTACTATATAATCAACACACAGGTATTCTTATTCTCTCTTAACCACTACCTAAACAAAACTGGAATTTAGCCAATTCAGTGCCAGACGAACACATGAAGAAAATTACAACTTCAACCACAATTAGAGCAAAGCGGAAGCAGAACAACAACAATCAAGGTAATACTAGAAACTGTTAAAGTAGTAGAGCATTTTTGTGTTCGAGTATAGCCCTAAATACTAGCTCAAACCATATAAACTATGTGCATGTGTTCTTGACCCCCAAAATTAATGGCATCAGTTAAATTACAGTGAATAGATGTGTTGATAAACAAATTTCAGTATACACGAAGATGATTTCTAAAAATTAGTTCTATAAACTGCCGTTTTAGATAGATATATAGTCACCATACTTAGATCTGAAAAATTAGAAGAGATAGGGTTAGAAATTGTTACCCAACTTGGTATAAAATCTAGAAATCGTGTAGGAGAACACCCATTTCTGCCTTGGTCCATCGTTGAGCATCACACATTACTAACCACCAACCTTCGATCTCCCTCTATCCATGAAAGCCGGCGAAGTATAGTGTTCATATGGCGGTCGATAGACCATGATATCTCTGAATCGGGGTTTTGACTAAGGGGTTAACACTCAGATTGGGAGTATTGAACATACTTCACAGTAAGATCATCATCATCGCGAATCCATAGTATAGTTCGGTTAACAGTTCCTCATCGTACCCTAAACGGGAGTTAAGAACTCCATTTGTAGTGAGAGGACCGAGACTGGGATGGGTGAGATGAGCTTAGATGAGGATGAAGGCTAGGTGTGTAGGAAAGGGAAGGACAGCTGTTAACATCACCGTCTCAGGCCATCTGTGATGTTTATGTCAGATATATTAATTTTTATTATTATTATTATTGTTATTATTATTATTGTTAGTATTATTATTATTATTATTATTATTATTATTATTATTATTATTATTATTATTATTATTATTAGCAAGGTACTCAACAAGGTACTCAATTGTTTAATTGTTTATGTTTAATTGTTTATTATTATAAGTTTAATTGTTTATGTATTACAAATTCCTGTACTCAATTGTTTACTATAATGGTTGGTAATTAATAGTTATTTTAATTACTATTATAGTGTTAGGGAAGAGCGTTATATTATCAGTTTACTATTGTTATTAGTTTATTATAATAATACAAATCATTATTATTACTATCATTATACTCATAAATGTTATGTCAATATTTACGCAATTACGAATGTAAATTAGATTAAGCTATGATTATATAATAAATTAGTTTTAGTACTTTAACATTATAATAAACATTATACAATATAATAACGTGGTTGTTGACATACTATGATTGAATAATTAAACTTGATCTATGTATGATTAACAAAAATGTTACACCAAATAATAAATGTGTACTGATAACATTGTTTTTTTTTAACAGACAACACTGTCAATGGGGAAGCGTACATGCCGTCGTTTGAATCTAACAAGAATACGAAAATTGGTACACCGCTAATTGGCGTTTTTCAAAGTTCGTTAAGTACGCCTTTAAGTATTCTTACCAATGGTAAGTGTTTTCATTAGCAACAATTAACTCCATTAATGGAGTTTTGTTAATATTAATTGTCATTGCAATTGACAGGTGACACTGCGGTTCGAACGACAATACGGACTACCCCAATGCCGGATTTTAGTTGCAGAATGTCGTTAAGCAACATATCAAATAGTAATTAGCTAAACCAATATTACAAATAATTTTGTAAATAAATTATCTAACAATCAAATTGGACAATTAGTATTCTAACGTGTGTGTTTTACCACTGCTCTATAATTATAGCAAATTTGACTCGATCTACCGTGGACCTTGATAAATCGCCGCGGACCAAGCGCCATAATCATTCATTTGACTTAAATAGATCACCAGGCTCGCACGGTAATAAAGTTGAAATTTAGTATATAACCTATACTCATTTGCGGTAAATGCTACGTCATTATAATCTGTCCTACCTTAATTCACAGCGCCTTCTCCCGGACGAACACCAATACAGACTACGTCATCGCCAGTTTTTAGTAGCAGAATGCCATTAAGCAACATATCAAATAGTAATGATCTCAACAAGTATATTTGTTATAAGATTAGTATAAATTTATTTTGTAGTCAAATGTAATACTTAATCGTCTAACAAGTCGTTCTACAATTTTTTTGTAATTAAAGCAATTTGCGGTACAGTTAATGGCGACCGCGACAAACCAACTACATCCAATTGTACACATCGTTACTTCGACCTAAATCGAAGTCCAGATTCGCAATTAGGTATCAATATATTATGAGGAGCAATTGGTTATTGCATAGTCAATATTAAATTAGAATGTAATATATTCTATAATCGTTTCTGTAGGATTTGAAAATAATTGTTGTGTTACAAATGACAACAACATGCAAATAATCGTGGTAGAGCCGGAGACTGAACCCATCAAGCATTGTCGAAATTTGATATCAGATTTTCACGAAGTTGTTGAACAATTGCATGACAATGTGCCCTCAAAAAATGGTGAGTACGTATTAAACGATGCCCAACGAAGACATACTATCTTTGGACTAAAATGAACTATATTATTGTTTTTCCCCGTGAACTAATATCAAAGTAATTTTTTTTGTAGACTATTATTTTGATAGTGGTGATCCAGAGTATTTGTGCGAGCATTGTAATGCATTTTTTTGGTACAATGAACGGTCTAGCAATTCAAGGTCATGTGACAGGCCTAAATACTCCGGATGTTGTGTGAATGGTAAGATAAAGTTGCCATTGATGACAAGGCCTCCTCAAAAGTTGTTTGATCTATTCTTTACATCAAGTGAGAAAAACAAATGTTTTTTGAAGAATATAAGGTCCTATAACAACATGTTTTGCTTCACGTCAATGGGTGGAAAAATTGATAGAACTATTAACAACGGAACATCACCTCCTATATTCCGTATAAATGGTCAGAATTTCCATCGGATTGGAAGTTTATTGCCTGCTCTTGGCACTCAACCAAAATTTGCACAGTTATACATTCACGATACAGAGAATGAGATACAAAATCGATCCAACTCTTTCAGGTATAATAGTCCCTGTTAATCAACTCTTTTGGCCTGTCATTTTTTAATAATAATAATCTTATATTATAATCTTATATTATATTTTTTTATTTGTCTAGGACGGAAAACAATGGTTCTGCATTTCATCTTGATGTAGTTCATGACATTAAGCAAGACCTAGATGAGCACAATGTTTTGGTTAAGTCATTCAGAATGGCCAAGTCATTTATGGAATCTAATCCTACAAGTGAAATTAGAATGAGATTAATAGGGAAGAGGTCTAAAGATGCTAGAACGTATGCGCTACCAACTACTTCCGAGGTTGCTGCTCTCATTGTTGGAGATCTAGACCCTGGCATGGGCGAACGTGATATTGTCGTCGAGTCTAGATCGGGGATGCTAAAACGAATAAGTGAATTAAACCCAGCATATCTACCATTGCAATACCCGCTTTTATTTCCATATGGAGAGGATGGTTTTAGGGAAGACATGCATTTTGCAACACATGGTACTAAACAAAATTTTGCAAGAAAGAGTGTTTCACAAAGAGAATACTTCGCGTTCCGTGTTCACGAAAGATCAAATGAGATTTCAACTATAATGTACGCTAAAAGGTTATTCCAACAATTCTTGGTTGATGCGTATACTATGGTTGAATCTTCGAGGTTGCTATATATTCGGTCAAATCAAAAAGCTTTGAGATGTGAGGCGTACAAAGGTCTTTCTGATGCGTTAACACGAGGTGAAGTTCAACCTAGCTCGCAAGGTAAAAGAATAATATTACCTTCAAGTTTCACGGGAGGAGCAAGATACATGATACAGAACTACCAAGACGCCATGGCAATTTGCAGATCTATAGGTTATCCAAACCTGTTTATTACCTTTACATGTAATCCTAAATGGCCGGAGATTCAACGCTTTTTGGAGAAAATAAATTTGAAAGCTGAAGATCGTCCGGACATTGTTTGCAAAGTTTTTAAGATGAAGCTAGATTGCTTAATAAAAGAAATAAAATACGGCAAACTGTTTGGTCCGGTAAGGGCAGGTGCGCCCCGCATTTTCTTATAAATGCCTTTTTATATACATTAATTATCAATACGAATTTTATAACTCACACAATATAATTCTTTATGCAACAGTGATATACACAATTGAGTTTCAGAAACGCGGTCTTCCACACGCTCACATATTACTGTTCCTACAAGGGACGAGCTGCTTTGCCAATCCTGCTTTTATGGACACGATCATTTCTGCCGAGATCCCAGACAAGTTGATTGACGTTGAGTATTACAAAGCTTTCGAAGAATTCATGGTTCACGGTCCGTGTGGTGTTGCCAGGAGCAATTCACCGTCCATGGTAAATGGAAAGTGTTCGAAACATTTTCCAAAAAGATATATTGATGCATCCCATTTTGACCAGGATGGTTACCGGTTGTATCGAAGAAGGGATGATAAGAGGACAATAAAAAAAATGGAATAGATTTGGACAATAGGTATGTTGTACCACATAATCGGTACTTACTCTTGAAATACAAAGCCCACATTAATGTAGAGTGGTGTAACCAATCTAGGTCAATCAAGTACCTATTCAAGTATGTCAACAAGGGTAACGACCGTGTAACGGCTGAGTTTTATAAGACTACAATGGATGAAGGTGGTAATGAGATGGTGGATGAAATAAACATGTACTATGACTGTAGGTACATCTCTGCGTGCGAGGCAGTATGGAGGTTGTTTAGTTTTGAAGTTCAGTACAGGACTCCACCGGTTGAGCGACTAAGCTTTCACTTGCCTGACTGCCAATCAGTCGTGTTCCAAGACGATGATACCATTGATCATGTCTTGAATAGAGAGACCGTTGGGCAAAGTATGTTTAATGCATGGTTTGTAGCGAACCAGAAGTTTAAAGAAGCGAGCTTATTAACTTACATTGAGATGCCTACAAAATTTGTGTGGAAAAAGGACATCCGTGAATGGCATCCAAGAAAGAAGGGTTTCTCAATTGGTCGGATATTCTATGTACCACCCGCTTCAGGAGAAATTTATTATTTAAGGTGTCTATTGAACATAGTCCGCGGTCCAAAATGCTTCCAAGATATTAGGACAGTTAATGGTGTTGAGTACTTAACGTTTAGAGATGCATGTTATGCTCATGGATTGTTAGACGATGATAAAGAATACATTGATGCTATAAATGAAGCAAGCTACTAGTCAACTGCATATTCATTAAGGAAGCTATTTGTTGTCTTACTAACATCCTCATCCATTATTAGGCCCGAAAATGTCTGGAATCAAGTGTGGAAACATTTGTCTGAAGATGCTCAACACTATCAAAGAAGAATATTAAATCAACCAGGTAATGTACATTTTTTTTATACAATAAAATATCTTAAGTTATATCGATAACTATCTGACTGTTGCCATCGTAACAGATTTGGTCTTAACAGAGGAAGAGAAAAAGAACTTTGCATTGTTCGAATTGGAAAACCTATTGGGTCAACAAAATAAGTCTTTAAAAGACTATCCTCCGATGCCAAATACCCAGTACTGATCATTCAAGGTTGTTTCAGAATAGGCTGGTTTTTGAAAAGTTAAGTTACAATTGCGAGCAGTTGAAAGAAGATGCTGAAGTGCTTTCTGCCAAACTAACCGAAGAACAAAGTGTCATCTATCATACGGTTATAAAAGACATTGCAGACGGTAAAGGTGGCTTATTTTTTGTTTATGGCTACGGTGGAACAGGAAAGACTTTCTTGTGGAGAGCGTTGTCAGCTGCAATCCGATGCAAAGGTCAGATCGTTTTAAATGTGGCATCAAGTGGCATAGCTTCTCTGTTGTTACCAGGTGGCCGAACTGCTCACTCAAGATTTGCAATACCTATTGCAATAAATGAAGACTCAACCTGTAACATTAAGCAAGGTAGCGACCTGGCTGAATTGTTGATAAAGACGAGTTTGATAATATGGGATGAAGCTCCCATGATGCACAAACATTGTTTTGAAGCATTAGACCGAACTATGATGGATTTATTGCATTTTGTAGACCCGTGTAGTGAAATGAAGACGTTTGGTGGTAAAACTGTGGTTTTGGGTGGAGATTTCCGCCAAATTCTCCCGGTAGTTCCAAAAGGTACACGGCAAGATATTGTTTCTTCAGCCATAAATTCATCATGCCTATGGGATAGTTGCAAAGTTTTAAGGTTGACACAAAACTTAAGACTAAGTTCGGTACCCAACGGTGGAAATCGGCAGGCATTACAAGAATTTGCCGATTGGATTGCTAATGTCGGTGATGGAAAGCTGGGTGGGCGGAATGATGGTTACGCAGAGGTTGAAATTCCAAAACACATGTTATTGTCATCCGGAGCGGACGATATTAAAACAATTGTGCACAGTACATTTCCTATGTTTGCAAATGGAAACACTGACCCCGAGCATCTGCTAGGTCGTGCTATATTAGCACCAACGCTCGATGTGGTCAATGCAGTAAATGACTATATGACTGAGTTGCATAATGCCGAAAGCAGGTCGTACTTTAGTTCAGACGCAGTATGCAAAGCTGACGGCGACAACGGTATATTTGGAGATGTACACACACCGGAATTTCTAAACAGCATTAGGGTTTCAGGTCTACCGAATCATACATTAACTTTGAAAATAGGTTCACCGGTAATGTTAATGAGAAATATTGACCATTCTCTTGGTTTGTGCAATGGGACTCGGTTGATAATCACAAAACTAGCAGACCATGTTATTGAAGGCGAGATTCTGTCTGGACCTAACAAAGGTACAAAAGTGTTGATCCCTCGAATGTCAATGTCACCCTCTGATCCAAGATTGCCGTTCAAATTTCAACGAAGGCAATTTCCAATTATGCTTTCATATGCAATGACCATTAACAAAAGTCAAGGACAAACGTTGTCTCATGTTGGTTTAATACTAAAGAAACCGGTTTTTGTACACGGTCAGTTGTACGTAGCTGCATCTCGGGTTAACAATCCTGACGGTCTCAAAATATTGATAGTCAAAGACCCAAGTTCAACTACTATATCAACCACTAATGTTGTATATCATGAAGTTTTCAATAATTTGTAATTTTGTAGTTCCATGACCTTGCAACTATTTGATCTCTTTTCGTACTATTCTCTTTTCTAGGACTTAATCTCCATCTATCCCAATCATATTTCATTTATATGTTATAAATTTTAACCGTAGTTCACACAATTTGTAACATAATATACACACAATTAATACTTTTTAATTTACATACCGTGCAGCGCACGGGTCAAATACTAGTGTATATATATATATATATATATATATATATATATATATATATATATATATATATATACAGTGCAAATTCTGCATAAGATTTGTGTACTGCACCTTAAATAATTTATATTTTTTTCGTTTTCAAAAAAAAATTATATATATACTGCAAATTCTGCATAAGATTTGTGTACTGCGCCTTAAATAATTTATATTTTTTTCGTTTTAAAAAAATATATATATATATTTCTTTCCCTCCAGCTGCAAATTCTGACGTAGTATTTGTGTGTGTATACATATGGTTAGATTATGATTCTTAGAATTTCATTCATTTACAACTCTATATTTTCATATATAATTTATATTTTTTCCCACTGATGCAAATTCTGCATAATATTTTTCCATGTATAACTTTAAATTTTTTTTTTTACAATAATGTATGTTGTTATAGAATAATAATAATAATAATAATAATAATAATAATAATAATAATAATAATAATAATAATAATAATAATAATAATAATAATAATAATAATAATAATAATAATAATAATAATTATTATTATTATTATTATTATTATTATTATTATTATTATACATTTTTTGTATATAGGGGCATTTATGTATTTTAAAGACATATTTCATTTCTATTCATTAAAGCAATCAAACACTAAAGTAATATTCCTAAAATTTATTCCTTCTGTGAACTAAACAATAAAATATCATTCAAATTTATTCTTTCTCAGTATTAATTTTAACAGATATCTAATTAGTCGAAGGACTAATTGAAATGGCCACTAAACGAATACTTCTTAATTAAATAAGGTCATAACAATATAAGTATAACTAAGAGATTGAGTTTACTATTATAACATAATTGAATGACTAAAATGATTAGTTTTTTCATAATTTTATTATAAATCCAAGTACAAATATTGTTTGTTTAAAGAACGTTGTTGGGAACTGGATGCACATATATTCAATGAAGCTTCTAATGAATTTCGATCATCTACATACACCAAATCACTGTCGGTCTTCCTTAATATATGTGCCTTCATATTTTGGTCCTGCCCAATGTGAAAATTTTAAATTTCCACACTCTTTTTGTTTTATGTCATTCATTCAATAATTACTATACCTTTTTTTTTTTTTTTTTTTTGACAAAGCAATAATTACTATACTAACAAGTTAGTTTCCAAGAAATTACGTGAAATTGAAATATAACATTGATTCTATACACTGAATGTGTATAAAATTGACAGCTAAAATGGTTTAGTTATAAGAACTTTTTTATTATTTTGCATTGTTAATTGGTTCCCACAAAAAATTTGATTTTGGAGTATGTATTTACTCATTCTCTCTCCTCTCACCTTACTCCTTCACATAACCTAAATTTCTGGGAAAAAAAAAATTATTGGGGTTGTTCTAATTAATTTACTTCATCCTTTATTGATTACGTAATATTTAATTATCCAATACACACCATCATGTAGTGATTACAAGCTTTTCTTCGTTACTCAAGGAGAGGTGAAAAAAAAAAAAAAAAAAAAACTCAAGGTAGAACAAATTATGAAGATTTAATTTGTGGTCAGAATTTGCTGAGCTTTTGTAGCGGCGAACTGCCATCCGTTAACGTTTGATTTAGCAACGAGCGATATTGGAAATGCATTGCTAATTAGTGTTTTTTGTTGTCAACTTTGATTAAAGTCAGTATGATAGTCTGAAAATGTGAGTTGCATGGTCCTGTATAGAGTGCTACATAACATGTTGTGTTGGGTAGGGCTTTGATTTTGAACCATTCTTTGAGTTTTCATCAAAATTTAAACTTCAAAACTTCAAAATTTATAAATGAACATGAAATATCTTACTAAAACTCAAAACCTTTATAAAAACTAACTTACATCCAATTAACTAAGAAATAAGTATACACAAATAATTATTAATTTATTTGTATAATTAATTAACTATGAATTATACTAACATGTACCGTGAACTAAATATCTAATTGTTAATATCTTTACAAAATACAAAAAAAAAAAAAAAAAAAATCTCTAAATATTATAAATATATCTAAAATAAATGATTTTTTTTTAAATCTCAAAGTACCTCGCAAACTTTTATTCAAATTTTCAAAACAATATTTATGCAGAAATTTTATACTTTTTTTGATAGTGCAGAAATTTTATACAATTTGCTAATTATTAACAATTGCTAATTGTCAAAAGTGTCAAAAGAGTGTGGCCTCATAAAAGTGGATAGAACTTTTTTTTATTCCTAACCTGGAAATTTGATTTTTCCACAGTCCTTTTGCTTTCTGTCTCCCAATAATTACCAAGTTTTTTTTTTTTTCAGAAACCAATAATTACCAAGTTTTTTTTTTTGAAAGCCAATAATTACCAAGTTAGTTTCTAGGAAATTATGTTAAAGTTGAAATTGTCTTTAGATCGGACTTGAAGTAAAACACCTCACAATTTCAATCCAATTTAAAAAACAATTATTTTCTTCTATTGATATATAAATTAATTTTAAATATTAACAAAATAATGAAAATAAAACTTTAAATTATGTGAAATCTTTTTGCGAAATTCAATATAAAATAAATTGTATTTAGTAAATATTTGAAAATACATATTTATTATTATTATTATTATTATTATTATTATTATTATTATTATTATTATTATTATTATTATTATTATTATTATTATTACTAGTATTTGTCCCGTGCGATGCACGAAAATATGTTATAAAAATATACCTTATATGAGGTTTATTCATATATAAAATTTTTGTTATTTAATAATTATTATGTGTGAATTCCTATGATAAAATTATGAACATAAATATATTTACAATTAAAATAATATTTAAGGTGTGTGATTACTACAAATCTTAAACTATATTAAAAATTTAGTACATAGTATTTAATATTACAAATTTTTAAGAACTTAGTAAACTACAGTAGTAATTGAATTACAATTTTAGAGTCACAACGAATCAAAATTTTTAGACCTATGAGATTTCTAACTCTAGATGTAGCAACATACAATTGACCTTTAAAGACCAAAATTACAATATTAGTTCGAACATTGATTTTTTCTTCCAAATACTATCGAATTAAGTGTGTAATCAATAAAAGATGAGAACTAATAATTCGAGAATATAATCTTAATGTTACTAAGCCTACTTCACGTCAATTAAGTTAATTGGATAGTATCCGATGAATCCACGAATAACGCATCTTTGTCTCCGTAGTCCTCAATATGCACATCAACAATCTTAAATATTAGGTCGCCTAGCTATGCCATATATTAATTTCAAACTTATGAACTTTGGGGTTGTATGCAATAAAAAGTATATTTTAAATATACTAAGTGTACATTATATATGTATGTAAGGTACTTTCAATATAAAAATAATGTATTTTTAATATATTAAAAATGCATTTAATATTCATGATCCATACAATTATGTGGACCATCTTTCACACAATAATTTGCCATTAGAAATTGAAATATAAATAAATATAATAAATATATAAATATATAAATATATATATATATATATATATATATATATATATATATATATATATATATATATATTAGAAACTGTTAGTGGAAATTATTATCATTATTATTATTGTTGTTGTTATTGTTATTATAATTAACAATATTTTTTTTTTTTTGAAGGTCAACCAATGGGTTGTATTCATAGATAAGCCGAAATTGAGTCCGGTGGGATAGTATCCCAATACATAGCTGTGTCATACTGGAAAGCTGTAGTAGCTAAACTATGTGCTAAAATATTCTGCGATCTAGGTATGAAGTTAACATAACAATAATTAAAAGTAGATAAATGATTCCTGCATCCATCAATTGCGTAGCCAACATACGATCGTGTCAGCAGCTGTGGCGTCGTTAAGTAAGTCTGCAGTACCTGGCAATCTGTATAAAGCTCCATATTTTGTTCTCCACGCTCGCGTAGCCAAGAAAGAGCCTCCTTAAAAGCATAAGCCTCCGCCATGAGTGGTGAAAAACAATGTGGCAAAGGTGCGGAGTATGCTGAGATAAATTGACCACCCGGTCCCAGTATTACCACTCCAACCGTTGCTGTGTTGTCCGTGTGTCGATATCCAGCATCGACATAGCACTTGGATGGTGGTGGCTGCGTCGGAGTGTGACTGGGTGCGGCATGCTGGGCTGTTCCGGTTTCGGTTCTGCGGGCAGTGGGCTGCGCTGCCGTGGCTGGCATCACGGGACTCGGGTCCGTTCTTGGTGCATGGGCATGACGCCATGCCGTAACTTCGGCCTGGGCCGCGGCGAGCACTCGTCGTGGTCTGGGCAAACATGCATCCCAAATCGCACCATTCCGAGCTCTCCATACATGATAAATAATTGCAGCTGCGTAGGCAATACCATCAGAATCTAGAACATTTAACATTTCACTAAACCATTCATAAAAAATATTTGTCACAATATTTGTAGATGGAAGGTTAGATAGTGCCCAAATGGTCTTTGGATAGTCACACGAAACCAATGTATGCATAATATCTTCATTTACAACTCCACACATGGCACACACCGGATCAATCTCCACTCTCCTTATAAGCAAGTTTTGGGTAGTAGGAAGAATATCACTCAAAGCCCTCCATAGTAAGGTTTTCCATTTGGGTGGTATTTTCTGTTTCCACAATGTGAGCCACTTTGCAAATCCCACATTTGCAATATTTTCATAATTTCCCACCATACACCTATACCCATGTTTAACCGTGTAATTGCCTTTGGGGTCTCCATGCCAATACCACATGTCATCATAGCT